GATTGGCCTAGGGGGGGATTTTATAGGGATTTTAAAGGGATTTTATAATTTTTCTAATACAGGTTATTTAATATATATTTTAATTTGGCTTTTAGATATTTATTGTATAGCTCTGTTTTTACTTACCTGTAAGCCGCCCTGAGTCCCTCGGGAGAAGGGCGGGGTATAAATTAAAGTAATAATAATAATAATAATAATTGTTCCAGGGTCATGTGATCACCTTTTGCAACCTTGTGACAAGCAAAGTTAGTGGGGAAACCAGATTCACTGAACAGCCATGTTACTAATTTAATCTCTCTCCTTCTTTCTTTCTCTCTCTCCCTCTCTTTCTTTCTCTCTCCCTTTCTTTCCCTTTCTTTCTCCCTCGTTCTCTCTCCCTTTCTCTCCGTCTCCTTCTTTTTCTCTCTCCCTGTCTCCCTTTCTCTCTCCCTCTCCCTCCTTCTTTCTTTCTCTCTCCGTCTCCCTCTTTCTCTCTCCCTTTCTCCCTCTCCTCTTTCTTTCTCTCCCTCTATTTCTCTTTCCCTCTTTCTCTCCCTCTATTTCTCTCTCCCTCTCAAAGATCCTTAAAATCCTTAAAGGCTATGCTTGGGCGGAAGACTTTTTCTTTTACAGATGGGGCGGGTGGGCCTGACATTCGCGCGCAGGCAGGACCCCGCCCGCCAAGCCACCGCTTCCCCATCGCCCTCCACGCCAGCCGGCTCCGTCTCCAGACCTCCCAGCTAACGGGCGCAGGTCCGGGGGTCGCCAGCTGACGGGCGCAGTTCGTAGGCGCCGCCACGGCCTCCCAGCCGCTTGCTTCTTCGGCTGGAGCAATTGCAAGGGCTTGCATGGTCGCCGGCGGCGGGGAGCACGTCAGCGGCCCTTGGGGACCATGCAAGCCCTTGCAATTGCTCCAGCCGAAGAAGCAAGCGCCCGTCAGCAGGCGACCCCCGGACCTGCGCCCATCAGCTGGAACATCAGGCAACGCTTTGCCCGGTGCAGAGGGCGAAGGGGAGGCCGCTGCAGCGCCGAACTCCTGCGCCCGTCATCTGGCGACCCCCGGACCTGCGCCCGTCAGCTGGGAGGTCTGGAGACGGAGACGGCTGGCGTGGAGGGCGATGGGGAAGCGTTGGCTCGGCGGGCGGGGTCCTGCCTGCGCGCGAATGTCAGGCCCACCTGCCCCATCTGTAAAAGAAAAAGTCTTCCGCCCAAGCATAACGCCAGCAGTTCTGTGCCACAGAGGCTTGAGACACGGAGGCGCGGGACGCGGAGCGGCGGGAGGCAGCAGGACGGGGGAGGGGTTACCTGCATCCTGCCAGCCGAACTCTGGAAGCCTGCCTGAATACCCATATTTTCCGGCGTATAAGACGACTGGGCGTATAAGACGACCCCCGACTTTTGAGAAGATTTTCAGGATTTAGAAAGTCGTCTTATACGCCAGAAAATACGGTATTTTAGCCATGGCACCAAACAGGCTCTTAAAATTTGCTATTTAAAAGTGAGATATTGGACCTAATTTTAATATTTTATTAAACATTTCCAGATGTGTAGACATTGTTCTTTGGACGTATGTTTGTTATAGCTTTTTTAAAAAATGTTTATTATTTCCTTTGCAGTGCAGGATGTCCTTTGAGTCACAAGCTTTCCAAGATGCTCCTGAGTTGTAGATCTGCAAGTGGAATATAATGAATGAAATGTAACATAGCTGGGTAGAGCCAATGCTTGCATCAGAGGATATCATTAGGAGCACAAGAAATAAGGTGATAACATTCACAGCCATCAATAAATTTCAATATAATAGATAATAACTTTAAATTTACAAGAACTGTTTCATATTAACAAATGAAGCCATATTTCTTTGTCTAGAAACAGAGCCTACCTGTTTGTGAGTCAAATATAAATGTAACATGCAAGCAGAAATATTCATATTCGCCGCCTCTGCTTTATTACTGGCTTTGTTTGATCTTCCACTAATAATTCTTCAGATGAACTTAAAGTTTGAATTGGATCAGCAATCTAGTTTGAAAAAGAGAATTTACAGTTAGCATATTATATGCATCTATAATGGAATAGAAGGGATTAATCTATTGCAAAATAATTCATATATACAAATTCTAAATGATGTTAGAACTACATATTTTCACAGCATTGAATGAAAAATTATTGGCCCACCTTCTTTAGTCTATTACGAATTAAGTTTGCTGAGGTGTTCAGTGAATCATCATCCATATCTATTTTAGGTCTTTCTGGTAGCTTTGGGCCAAAAATGATTTCTTCACCATTAGGCTCTCTTCCCAAAAGGGCAAGTTTGTTGTCTTCATCTCTTTTCCTCTTTCGTTCCTGAAGTTGAGTAGTTCGGGGCATGAATCTTGCAAGACCTTCATCACATGCAATCTTTCTTCCTAGGTTCCAGCAAGCCAATGTGTCATGCTTTTTTTGCTGTGGCTTCTTATCCATTTTTATCTTTTGGCTAAAGCATGCAGATGTTGTAGCACAGTGACGAGAATAGTGAGGTGCTACTACCAGACTCTGGCAATGTTGTTCTAAAGGAGATGTAATATGTTTCAGTAATAATGTGGAACAGGAAGATTGACAGGGGTCCTGTGTATATGTTGCTGGATTCCATTTGCTAATGGCTGTTGTTTTAGATGTCCATGATCGACAAACCAACTGCATGATCTTTGGAGAACGTATACAACCATCCTGTTTTGTTTCCAGTGATCGCTCTTAAAACACACACAAAAATAATATGTTATATTAGTGCATAGTAAAAAAGGCATTTTTGAAGTGAACTTTAATTTTGTTAACAATTTACCATGATAGAAAATAGAGAATAGGATTTATTTGATGAGCAGTGAGAAAAATTGTTTTAATGTATTAGTTACAGAAAAAAATCCCTCCAAATCATCTTTGTTCTGCTATGCTTTGGATGAAGAATTGGAATATTTTAATAAATTACAAGATGTCCATCATTCCGGGGGTTTTTTGGAATTGTGCAAAAATGTACAATGAAATAATAAGCAAAATAAATACATGAACTAAGAAAAAAAAGAAAAATTAACTACATCCAATTCAAAGTAAATCCTGTAAACACAGTTTTTTCTTTTGCTCCCATATTTTTTTCCACGCCAAACTATTTAGATTTGAAATAATGCAAGAGGTATTCTTAATGAGAGTATAAAAAGAAAGAATATAGCTTTTCAAACAGTAAATGTAAAGTCCTCATTGACTTGAGTTTGACTTGATAACACCCTTGGTGAATTAATATTGGTATTTTGGGGGGAATTACAAAAGTTGTTTGCTCTTGCCTTTCTACTGATTTAAAATAATAAAAGCCACAAACCTTTACAACTGGTTGCTTTTGCTATATATTTTCGTCTGTCTTTTAGTTTGTCTCTGGTCTCTTGTACACTCTCAAATTCTGGAGCATAGCATATATGTAGCAAACTGCCAAAGAAATTCCGCTCATCCAGTTTTCTTTTGGCTACCCTAAAAGAGAGCAAGAGTGATACTCAATGTTGTTGAAGTTAAGTTTTCTTTAAATCCAGTAAGTTAAGTTTTGACTATAAAAATAACTGTTGTGGTCTATATAAAACTGATATATGAAAGAAATTACAATATTAAATAAATGGGGGTTTTAGGCACAACAAAAGCAGTATTTACTACCTTGCACTCTGTATTTTTAAAAACTTGATCAAGTACACTTCAGTAAATTCTTCTGCTGGATATCCATCTAGTGGATTATATTCCTCGACAGTACCATATAAAGCAAAAAGTTCAATTAATTCCTTCATAACTCCCAGTGCAGGAACACCTTGGATTAACAAATATCGAGACTCTAAATTGACAGTGTAAACCTGAAAAACAAAATTACTTTAATAATGCTTTAATATATGTAAGTGAGCCATTCTATTTTGAAATTAATTGTTTACAGTAATACAATATCACTACTTTAAAAGAATGTGCCAAAAGTTAAATATTTTAGGATTAATGATCCAGTTCATCCATTGTAGTCCTTACCTATGCACACAATTGGGACCAGAATTTCCACTGCTAAGCAATGCAGTTTTTAAATGAATTGCACCTGATTTTATGATCTTTTTACCACGGTTGTTAACACTGAACATTTTGTGGTCTCCATGAAGTAAGAAAGATGTTGACCCACTAGAAAGAGTGCATAGAAGATCAACAAAGATGATTGGGGGATTGGAGGCTAAAACACACAAAGAACAGTTGCAGGAACTGGGTATGCTAGTCTAATGAAGAAAGGTGACATGATAGCAGTCAAAATACCCAAGAGATTATCAACCTATTCTCCAAAGCACCCGAGGGCAAGGACAAAAAGTAACAGAAGGAAACCTATCAAATTGAGATTCAACCTAGAAATAAGGAGAAATTTCTTCAAGGTCGTCCTGTCCTGTTCTGTCCTGCATAGGTGCTGCGAGTGTATATGTAAACAAAAAGGGGAGGGAGGAAAGGAAGGCCAGATTTGCTTTTGTTCGGCTCGTAGGGTTCCTACGGAGAGCCCAACAAAGTATCTGTATCAGAGAGCTCATTTGAAAAGACGAGGACATCGCTAAAGCGAGAGCGCTTTCTCCTTTACCTTCACTGCTCTTGGCCGGCGCCCTTCGCGATACTTAGCGCGAGATGCACATATCGTCTGCTGTGCGTGATGCTGGCAGACGCCACCAACCTCCTCACCAATGCCAACCGCCGCCATCTTCACTCCCGTAGTCTCTGTCGCCTCTTCAAACAGTCACCTAAGTCCTCCCTGCCCCGAGGGCCACTCAAAGGAAAGGCGGAAAGAAATCGATGAAGAACCCAGCGAGGGAACGAAGCGGAGCCCTGGCATTTTATCCAATCACAGCAGGGGAAAACGGCTGAACATCCAACGACATTACGCTACTCCAAAAACGGCACGATACAGTGCCGGAAACCGGAACAATAGTTCTGCCAGTTTGATGACGGTCAAGAGTCGCGACGTTCTGTGTTTTTTGTCTTAAGACGTCCGATTCTGGTACCTGGCCTTGGGTGGCCGGAGGTTCGGCTGTCATGTTGGGGGCAGGAGGATTCGGAGTAGCCGCGGCGAGCGTCTCCTTGAGCGGGGTCAAGAACAGCTTTCTGCACTTGCCGCCAGGGCTGGCTTCCTATCTCCGACTGCAGCAGGTACAGGAATTCAGGAAGGTGGCCACCAACCTCCATTCCGGGATCGCGCCTCTTTTTCACGGCGCCCCGTACTCGTTTTATGCTCCATGATTACTGAGGCTGAAGTATTTGTTCACAGTTACAGCATACTTTTCTTAGTAACAACTTTCTATATTCAAGTATGGGGCTGTTAGCACTTTAGACGAGCCACGGAAGGGGACTCTTGCCTGGTTCCAGATAGTATAAAAAGAACCAGACTTCTCTGAATAACAGACTTGGAAGGGACCTTGGAGGTCTTCTCATCCAGCCCCCTGTTCCAGCAGGAGACCCTTATCCTCTTCATTAGCTGTGCTAAGTAAAAACAGTTATTCGCTCCAGACGAAAAGGATATTTGCAGCGGTGCCTGTGGAGGTTTCTTGGCAACACTACAGGAATGATATGTTATTGTATTTTTCTGAGGATGTTCAATATCAACTGACATAGGATATTTTGGTGCTGTCCCTGATCTTGTTGGTCATTGTGTTTTCGAAATTTGCCAATAGTAGGTGCTGCTGCCCACTGGGGATTACTTGCCTATGACATCAAATATTATGAAATGGAAAGTGGTGTTTCATTGCTATATTTTTCAAGCATTGCAGTAGAGAATAATCTGAAATTAATTGCAACTTTCTGCAGCTATTAAATGAATAGGAGTTTTAAATCTGATATTTTTTTCCATAAGGCCTGTGGAACTTTTTTCTCATTGTGGTGAACACAGTTAAAAACTATTTTTTTATCATTTGGAAAAATACCTTATAACATCCAGGAGATGGTATCTTAGTGCAGTGTAATAATTAAGGGGTGTGGGGGATGAGTTCTGTATTAACTTTGCAAATACTCTTAAAACAAAGAGCTAAAGCTAAAATTAACAAATTCCAGGCCATCAAACTATTGACCCTCTGATTCAACCTCACCCTAATTCAGTGCTTGCGGGTCTTTAGACCTTCCAAAAAGCTGCTCCTTTCCAGATTACTGACAATTGGAGCTGGTCTTATAAAGGCTGAATCTGACAAAGCTAAAATTAAGAAACCTAAAACCATACAGGACTGTACTATTTGTGTATCCAAGATTGAAAAGTGTGCAGGTGATATACTATATGATGTAGTATTTGTGCTTATGCAAGGCTGAAAAATGAGCAGCATGAATTCTATTAACCCATAAAAGCAGAAAAAGTATAAAAAATAATAAAAATATAAAATTCAAACCCTGAGTATTTTATAAATAGAGGGATTGATTGATTGATTTATGACTCTGGGCTTGTCACTCTTGGACCAACCACTTCCATAGTGTTGCTGTTGCAAGAAAAATAGGCGTAGGAAGGAGTGTTAGATATGTTTGAGTTATCCATTTAAAAGCCAGAATAAAATACTACTACTAAGTGGCTTCAGGTCTTATGGTATTTTAAGATCCAAATCAACAAGCATCAGATGCCTGATATAATAGTTATTGGGGAGAAAAGTCTGATTCTTTGATGTTGCTGTAGTAGGTGATGCTAAGATTGGGAAAAAAATTAAAATCTGTGATTTACAGAGCAAATTTGAATACTTATGGAAAAGAAATCTTTTGTTATACCAATTTGATTGGAGCCCTCAAATTGATACCCAAAGGACTTCCTCGATTTCTGGACATACTGAATGTATTAGACCTGAACAGTCTAATTTTACAAAAATCCCCATTCTTGCTTTGGCCTTATCTATATGTATTTATTTATTTCATGAAATATCCCCTGTTTGTTTAATATAACTTTGTTCTCTTTGAAATTCATAGGATCAAGTTGTGAAAGCTTCTTGGGGGAATCAACCAGTATTCTTGGGTTGGATGGAAATCAAACATTATCGTCAAAGAGAGGAAAACATTGTTGAAATAAACAGACAATTAGCAGAAAAGCTTGGCATCAAAGATGGACAACAGGTTTGAAACATCGTCTTCTATTTGTACACTTAGAGTAGGATATGAAGTTAATACATATGGACTGTATCAGTTTCTAGTTTCAAAATCTGGCTTCTTATTAAATTATCAAATTGTCTACAAGTTATGCTTAATAAAATACCAAGATGCAGGCAAACATAGTTCAAATGACATAGCTAACTTTTGAAATGATTGTTGTATACATTCACTATTAATTCATTTGCTTTGCCCCTGCAAAACACATACACATCAAGTGCTTTTCTTATGGAATATGCACAAACAAAGAACTGCACACAACAAAGAATATTGCTTGAAAGAAACATGCAGAAATAATACAGGTAGTCCTCAACTGTAGACTGTAATGGAACTTGTCTATTACATTCAGAAATCGTGAGGGCCATTAAATGAAGTGTCCATGTGATCGCCTCATTACAGAGCCCTGTTCTTTCTTTTTCCAGTGCAGTCATTAAATGAATAAACAGATTGTTAAGTGAAGCACAGGGGCCCTCAGACCTAGCATAGGCCCTGCCCTGGGCCTCCCAAAACTTTCCCATCTCCTGAGGCCACTTCCCATCCCTTGGAATCTCTGCAGGCTTTGGGTCTACTTAATGCCCCACCATGTCCCACACCCTTGTCACCCCATGTCATCCACTGTGCACTTACCTTTCAAAGATCTCTGGAACTTGGGTTAGGAAGAGGAAGAAGGGTAGGCCGCTTTGTTCCTAGGCCATGTGGCGCAATCCTGAAAGCTGCCATTTGGGGCCAGCCACATTAAATTGTGAGTGCTCTGAAAATGATGGTCGCTTCTGGGATCAGCCTAGGAATGGAGTGGTTTGCCCTCCTTATTTAACTTGAGATCCAGATTGTTCTGATGGCCAGGGAACTTTCCAGAACTTGCATTAGGGAAGCAGAGCAGGCCTCTTCATTCAAAATACAGAATAACAGAGTTGGAAGGAAACTTCTTCTAGTCCATCCCGCTCAAGCAGGAAACTCTGTACCATTTCAGACAAATGGTTGTTCAATCTCTTCTTTAAAAACTCTAGTATTGGAGCACCCACAACTTTTGGAGGCAAGTCGTTCCAGTGATTAATGCTTCTAACTCTCGGAAAATTTCTCCTTAGTTCTAGCTTGGTTCTCTCTTGACTAATTTCCATCCATTGCGTCTTGTCCTGCCTTCAGGTGCTTTGGATAATAGGTTGACCCCCTCTTCTTTGTGGCATATAGTGGAACAATGCTATCATGTCATCTCTAGTCCTTCTTTTCATTAAGCTAGACATACCCAATTCCTGCAACTGTTCTTCATATATTTTAGCTTTCAGTCCCTTAATCATCTTTGTTGCTCTTCTCTGCACTCTTTCTAGAATCTCAACATCTTTTTTATATTGTGGCGACCAAAACTGGAGGCAATATTCCAAATGTGGTTTTACCAAGCCATTATAAAGTGGCATTAGCACTTGACGTGATCTTGATTTTATATGTTAATGCAGCCTAGGACTGGGAAATGTGGCTTGATCCCAGAAGTGGATGCTATTTTCTGGTCAGCCTTGTTGAATTGTGGGAGCTCTATAAATGGCAACTACTTCTGGGATCACACCCAGGTGCAAAGATCTTTGCTCTGTTTCTCTAATTCAAGTTTTAGAAAGCCCTGTGTTGTGTCAGAGCTCATGTTAAGCAAGCAGAACAAGTCTATTCGTTCTTGGGCCATGTGGCACAATCCGAAAACTGCCCATCATTTTTAGGGTAGCCACAATTCAATGCAGCTGACCAGAAAACAGTGGCTATTTCTGGGATCTCACCATGCAAGCCAGGAATGGAGTAGCCTCCCTCCTTTCCTAGCCCAAGCTCTGGAGATTTTCAAAAAGTAAATGAAGAGGGTCTGGGACCTGATGGGATAGGAAGCAGGCCCACCGGGACCCAGGGTAGGGAGGGAGAGGAAATAAACAGGGGGACTACTGCAGTGTCCCTATAGTCAGTCGTAAGAATGAATGACTGTGGGTGCAGCAGCAGGTGTAACTTTGGAACTGGGATGTAAGTAGCTTTTGGAGGGTCTGCTGAAACTTTGAGCAGCCGCTAAGCAACCAGTCGTAAGTTAAGAACTAACTGTATGTTGAATTATTTTCAATGTATCACTTATACCTTGCCAGTATTGTGACCCCCGAGATGAGATCTGTACCCACCCTTTTGACCTTCTGAAAGAGCTTGAAGACCTGCCTCTGCCACCTGCCCTGGTTCCCCAGTGGGGGCATGTCATTCCGGAGATGGTTAATGGACTAAGATAAGATCCCAAACTCCTCACCATTGCATCTAGCTCCCTTCCTTCCCATCTTTGTCATTTTCTAAATCAGTTTTGTGTTAATATTTACTGTTTTAACCTTTTATTTTAGTAAACCACTTACAGTTGCCTCTACATAAGATGGATGGCATTTAGGTTTAATAAATAAAATAAAATATTAGAATATTTTTGCTTAGGGTTCAGTGAGTCAGTCAGTGGAACAACAAATAAAAGTTTGGATGTATTAATATTGTTGCCAAACTGTTTAGTTTTTGTTACTGTCAGAATTGAATAAAATATCATTTATTTATTTGAGGATGACAAAAATAACTTTTACATTGCCAAAGGGAATAAATAATACTAATTATATGGCCAAAATATAGTTTGAAAATGTATATTGTCAATACAGATCAGTAACCATGTGATTCTTATATCAGATTTTCTTTTCTCATTTAGAATTATTTTCAGTGGTCTGTTTGAAAATTTTGAAATTAACTTAATTAGATTTCTTATCTGCCAGGTATTCCTTGAACCCTGTTCTCAGGTTTTGTC